GTGTATATATATATGTATTTTTTTTTTCCTTTTATTTATCGTTCGAGCGAGACAGTTTGTGAACATTGATAACGCGAGATAAAGTGATCAACTTCACCTTTTTTTTCTCTTCGTTCATTTGAATAAGGATAGAAGAAGAATAAAATGGATTTGATTCGAATCCTTTTTTAACCATTCAGGAAAGAACAATTTAATACTTAATAATTAGTTGTTGATAGAATTATTATTAGAATGTTTAATGAGATTATTATCATTAAATAATGTCAAATTTAGAATAATTGATAAATTGGTTATTGTTATTTCTTGAATCGAGTTACTTCAAGTTTGATTAATATCTTCTACACAAACGATATTTCTATGTAAATAGTTCGATATATTTTTTTCTTAGAAAATAACAAACTACTTTAAATTAAAAAATTCTATAATTCCATTTACAAAAAAAAAAAAACCATTGTATCATATAATTTCAAACACATTTATATGCGAAAACATTTTCCCCTTAAAAAATTTTATTCAAATAAAAAGGAAAATAATTGCTATCGATGGTCATTTATTTTATAAATCCTCGAAATGATATATTTGAAAACCAATATTTCTACGATATCCGTTTAAATTTGATAAAACGTCGAATATCTTCTTTCTAGGAATAGAAATAAATTGACGGAGGAAATTCAAATTGTTCGTTGAACGTAAAGCTTTCGATATCTCGATATCGAGATGTTTTATTCCGGACATTGAAAGTTTGTTGCCCCCGTGGAGGATATTTTACGTGGCCAGGAAAAAGTAAACAACGACGGAAGCGGATCTCTCTCACCCTCCCTCCCCTCCCTCCCCTCGATCCTCGAAATTCGAGTCTTCTCTTCTTTTAATAACGAAGTCAGACGGAAGAACTTTTCGGATTAGTTCGGTTCGAGAGAAAAAAAAAAGAATTTCTTCATTTCTTTTCCTCAGATCTCTCTATCTTCTATTTCGAAATATTTTTCGTTTGAAATTTTTGTTTATCGTCGTCGTCGTTTTTGTGATTTTCTTTTT